TTCCTTCTCTTTCTCACTCATTCTCTTCAATGTCACAAGTAAAATCTGCCAGAAAAAAATGAAAGCTGTGGTGACACAACAAGCTGCATGTATTGCATAACATTCAAAAAAAGTTCAAAAAGTGTCTTCCCCTCTCCCATCTGCCCGCTCGTGAGACTTTTCTCTCTGTTTTATGACTGTGCACCAGTTACTGTCTTGCCATGTCACCATGGCAACCTCCCGTCTCTTCTCTTGGCGACACATTTTGTGTGTGCAGAGTGCAGTGCAGTCACTCCCTGGTACCTTTACTCTCAGTCTGCACCGCAAGAGTGTATTTGAGTGTTTGTGTGCTGTGTGTTCAATGAGCATGTCTGAAGAGCTCCTTATCTGTGGGCCCTTGAGATCCATATTGTCTGTCTCTCTCTCTAACACACACACACACACACACTCAAACACACACTGTCACACGTACTGTCAGATCAGAGCTACTGCTTAGAGTCGTTTGAAGTCTGGCATGAGAATTAGGCTGAATTAGGCAGGCAGCAGATGTTTGGTATTCATGCCATCTCCTCTCTTCAGCTGGAGTGCACGACACAGCCTCAGGTTTAACCAATCTCTCAGCCACACTGGAAAGCCTCGGTCAACCCCCACACTTGACCCCTGGCACCCACCTCTCACACCTGACACTCAGGCGCTCAGCCATAGAGACCCCGCCCTCCCAATCTGAGCACCTGCCCTTTTGTTCTCTTCATGAAGCTTCGTGCTTCTCTCATCGTTCCATCACCCGACACTCTGCTAGCCTCGTGACTCACTCAACAGCACACCTTTGCTCACAGAACCCCACAATAATTGTATGAACTCAAACAAACCTACCCTGCACTGCCAGGATGGTTGCCAAGTTTTCAGTGTCAAAAAGAATCACTGCAGTGGGTTAAATGTACTCATTTGACATTGAAAGAGTCATGCCATTGCTGCACATCATATGGTAGAAGTTATTTTGACAAACATCGTGTATAAACACAACTCTTCAAGCAGCCATGCTTTTTGTAGTCACTCTGGTGCTGCATCTCGCTCCAGGGGCTGGATACTTCGAAGTCCAAATTACTAAACCAAATACCTCGTGGCAGGCTGACAAAGTCTGTCTTTTTTCAAAATCTTCTGCAAATACAGTTGAGAAATATCCCCTTCTTTGGCTAAAGGAAGCAACTAATGTATCATTTGTGGTCTCCAGTACCCTGACCATGGGGCTTTGGCATGTGTTTCCTCAAAACAAGGCTGCTTCTCTGTTTCACTGCAGGTTTAATTTGCTTCTAGTCGTGATCAGTTCTGCCATTATACCCTATCAAATTATTTAGTTAAATGCTTTTCAGAGATCTGAAAGGATCAAATTATGCAGTTTTTCACAAGCAAACAAATGTTACTTGAGAAGTCAGGAGAATACGCAGAAATATGGTTTAGATTTTTCCAATATCTCATTTATCATCCTGTGGCTCCTCAGACTGTCAACCCCTGATATTGATCTCACATGAAAATACATTACATGTTGTATGAGTATGACTTAAATTTTGGGTTTTGTTGGGACATTTTTTAGCCTATCAGTGAAGAAACGGACATCTTTTGATTGAACAAACCTTTGGCATATCTGTACAGCAGTTTACTTCTGGTATATGCTATTGATCTTTTGGTAGTTGAAAGGGCACGTCTTGTAGATGGAATTATTCCAAACAGGACCTTCTAAACCCACCATTAGTTTTAGACTCCCGTTTGCGGACACACAAGTTCAGCCTGGCCTTGTGGTTCCACCTTAATGTGTCTCACCAAAGTACACAGCCCCTAAAATGTGGGACACAGCACCTCTTTTCTGGTTTTAGTCTCATTGCTGCCCTCTGCAGGATGTCTTCATGCAATGCAGTCGTCCTCCATCTGTTTCATAATGTGAAAAGTGGAGGCCTTGAGGAAAATGTAAGACACAGAGGAAAAAAAAAAGCATAGAACAGATACATGCAATGTGAACCTTGTGGTTATAAGAGTGCCAGTAAAAACTGCCACATTTGGAGCTCGTTTCTTATATTGCGCTCTGGAGAAAACATTGGCTGCTGGTTCCGGAGCATCTCTTCAGTAGTCCCCCCCCCTCAGCCTCGACATCCCTTTTCCTGTATCGCACATCTTGCACATTGAGTTGTACCGCTGCCAGCATCCAGCAGCACACACCTGGTCCCTGAGCCCCGCCTTCCTTCACGCACGCAAGCATCCACAACAAACGCACACCCATGTTGTCACGCGTTCTGTCTCGGTCCCTCCGTCCCTCTTCGTCCCCGGCCTCCACCTCCACGTTCCACCTCACTGTGACGTGTGATAGACCTGCCATGTGAGACTCACGCTACTGTCCTTCTCTCCCCTCCTCACCCACTTCCCTCCTATCCATCCCTCTACCTCCTCCCACCCTCCTCGTCCTTCTCTCCTGACCCCACCTCCCCTCCCCGTTCCTCCACCCCTCGTCCCCACACAGAGAATGACCAGCCATCCCTTGTATGGTTTGACAGAGGGAAGTTTTATTTAACCTTTGAAGGTAAGTTTTTCTCTGCACCAGGGTAGCGTGCACACTATTTGGAGGCTCATTTGTGCAAGCTTCGCCCCTCCTCTGTCCCGCCCCCCCTTCCTCCTTCCCCTTTTTCTCCTCCATCAGCCTAACCCACATCATGCTATCTCCTGGCTGGGCTCCCTCATATTCAGTCAAATATGCAGTGGTATAATCTTCCTCTGACTTCTTTTCCTGTCATTGTTCATTCTCATTTCATCTCTGCTGACCACCTCTCGTTCCCTGAAGAGTCATCATCCTTCGTGTACTTTACTAATCACTTTGTCGTCACTTCTTTTCGTGCTGGTTTGGTTTTTGGTTTGATCTGTGGGCCCCGCTGATCTTCTTTGATCTCGTCAGAGTATTTCAGCTATATCTGCATGTCTGGAATAAGCATGCACATCTCTCTCAGTCTTTTCTCTATGTCTGCCTCTGTCTTTTCTTTCTCATTCAGCTATGCCAGCTCAGTTTAAAACAAAGATCAGTTGGTAATGTCATGAATTTGAGGGAGATATTTGAAGTAATTATGTTTAATTCTACAATTTCACAGTCAAAGAGCAGAGAGAAATGGGAACATCCTCGACACACATACTGTGCTGTTTTCATGCCACCTGACTAACACCAGTATCGGTTCTCATTTCAAATAGCTTCATTTCATCTCATCACTGTAGTTTGCACAAGTTTTGTTGCTCATTTCATTCACACACTGATAGGAAAAGTATAGAGTTCTGGTTTGGGAGGTGGAACATATTTGTATTAATGACACTCGTGCATTTTTATTCTGCACTGAACCTTCTGTACGTTGACGTCAGATTCATTTCAGGACTTTGATTGTGATTTCAGAGCATCTCAGACTTTGTCTATAACAGCCAGAAAAGGATAGCAAATAGCAACAATTAAGCTCAGTGGATTTTTTTAGTCAGACATCTTGGTTGCATGTGTTTCATGCCCTATTCAGACAAGTTTAATGTGTGTTTATGTGTCGGTGTGTTGCTTCTAGGCTGCTCCCGAGGGCCCAGTCCTCTCACTATGGGAGCTCAGGACACGCTTCCTGTCGCCGCTGCTTTCACAGAGACGGTCAACGCCTTCTTTAAAGGAGCCGACCCCAACAAGTGGGTCGTCACACATCCACACACATCATGTCTTTACTTATTACAGCAGAATTCACCAGTGAGGATCACAGAGTTTGTATGTCTCCTCTTTGTGGCTGATGGGAAAAGAGTGTTTGTCTAGTTTGTATAGCAGTACGTAAAGGATAACACTGGAGCTTGTGACAGTTTAGTAAATTTGACTCAATTTAGCATCTAAACGTAGCATATAGACACTTACTAAAATGTCGACTGTAATGTTGATGTAAAGAGATAGTTATAGGGTATATTTATGTTTATCAAGGTATTTATCATCTTTACCAGCTGTATAAACAGTTGTTACTGGATTGATTTAACAGCCTACAGGCATCACTGAACATGCTCAGTTTTTGTGTTTGCACTGTCTTTGATGTGGGTTGAGGAGCTGAGAGGAGTGAGCTGATGGTTTAAATTATTGATTTTGTGCGTTTGTGTTGATGTCAGTGCTTTAATATTGTAATAATGTGTGAATCATGGTTTACAAAACTTTTAAGACAGTAGCTCAGACACAATGAGGGATAAATTAAGATTGTTTCACTTCTGATTTATTGTGAAAATTGCAGAGGAGAAAAAAGAGAGAGAAATCAACCAAGTAAGCTTGTGATGTATTGGTACACTGTCTCTCCCCCCATGACACTCTCCTCGTCTTCCTCTCAGGTGTGTTGTGAAGGTCATAGGTGAGATGGTTTTGTCGTTTCCGGCGGGCATCACTCGGCACTTTGCCAATAACCCGTCCCCTGCCGTCCTAACCTTCAGCATAACCAACTACAGCCGACTGGAGCATGTGCTGCCTAACCCCCAGCTCCTCTGCTGGTAATGACACCACCGTGAACTCACCACCTCGCTCTTAGAAAACAATAATAAACGCAAAAGTTTACACTGAAGGCAGTGTGTCAGGGAAGAAGTGGAACCTAACCATAACTTTTAGCCTTCTCATATGTGTAGTTCAAGTCTGAAGGCTTTATAGTCTCATTTTTAAAATTCCCCTTAATGTTTAACAAGTTCTGAGTGTTAAAATTTCACTAAACTTCATTAAAACCAAGTCTAATTTGTGTGGTTTACTATACATTTTACATTGTATTATTAATAACACTTTCACGTATAGAGCGCTTAAAGAGCATGCTACATGTAACACATACTCTATGTTCAATTTGACTTTGCAGCAAGGTCCTCTTAAGTCACCTTCTTGTTATGTAACGGCAGCATATTGTTCAGAACATTTCAGTGAGATATTTGTTTCCACAGGAGTCCTGCATACTACACCTATGAAATGTAATAGGAACAGAGTAAATGTCGCTTATATATTTTGTATCATAAACAGGAAAAGGCGTTTTGTGGGAGGAAAAAAATGTATAAATTAATTATTAACTTAAAGAGGAGTGCAAGCACCGCGGGGGTCAAAAGATCATAAGACCATTTAATATATGATCTGGCAGCAACATAGTAGTAAATATATTTTTTATTTGATCATAGGCACCTTTCAGTAGGTGGAGCTATATTGTGTGTTTGCAAACTGGTAAAGTTATTTCAGAAGTGGCTCATAAAACATTTGTAATCCCATATGCTCTGTTAATAAAAACAAATGACCAGCGAGGATGAGACAGACTTTAGTGAGACAGTGATGCTGACTGCATGTCGAGTCATCACAAGGTCATCAGGCTTCTCTGATAAAGTACTTTGAGCAGAGTTCAGCTTTTTTTTTTTTGTTTGTCATCCTCTTCTGAGTCATACTGCACTTGTTGTAAAAAATAAAATAAAAGATAAACCACCTACTGAAAGCATAAAAACTAAATGTGAAATAACCAGAAATCACATTGATTACACCACTAAAAACACATTTTTTCACACCAGATTAACTGCTGTATCCTTGTGATTCGTCTGTGAATTAAATTTGTCAAATGTTTGTTCCCTTTCTTTAAAGTTTGCAACAAATAATGTCCAAGTTTTCCTAAAGTCCTAACTAGTGCTAAATCAGTGTAAACCTGACCTGTTAATGGTCATAATTAACATTAAAATACGCTGATGAGTGCCTGTGAAACTCAAACGTGCAAATTTTCATTAATATTTAACAAAAACAAGTTTGTTTTTCTGATTAAACAATGTTTTCATACTGACCTGCTGCAGAAAATTTCCACTTTACATAATGTGAGAGAGTGTTCACCAGGTTAGAAAATCAACAGAATCATGTGAAATATCTGTATTTTGATCGTGCTTTGCTGTGTGCTTCCCCACCAGTGACACCACCACACAACCCAAGGCCGATGCCAAGGACTTCTGGGTGAACATGCCAAACCTGATATCCCATTTAAAGAAGGTGGCAGAGCAAAAGCCACAAGCGACGTACTACAATGTGGACATGCTCAAGTATCAGGTCAGCTCAGCCTTTGGTCGTAATTACAACCCTCAGATCTTCCGCTGTTTCACTGTAAAGTCGAGTCAACTGTAACTGATTTGTTAGGGGTGTCTAAGTAATGATCGGCGACATCCAGTTTTATTTATTGTGTCTATCCATGGGCAGGTATCTGTGCAGGGCTCCCAGTCGACTCCTCTGAACCTGGCGGTGAGCTGGAGGTGTGAGCCCACCAGCACTGACCTGAGGATAGACTACAAATACAACGGGGAGGCCATGTCGACGGCGATGGCTCTGAACAACGTGCAGTTCCTCGTCCCTGTCGATGGAGGAGTTTCAAAACTACAGGCTGTTTTACCTCCTGCTGCATGGTACAGTCTGCAGTGTTTCTAGGATTAACACGTTACATACAGCTAATCAACGAAACAGGTCACATTTTATAAAACTCAGATATAAACCAATGGAAGCACTTGCTGAGCTTCACATTGGCTTGTATCAGCTTCATACCTGTGATCCAGCTGAAGCATATACTTGATGTAATAGAAGGACTAGACATAAAATGACATATTTTAAAACTGTGTAGCAAATTTGGGAATCGTAGGCAGTTATTTACTTTACTATGATGGTCTGCTTCACTGGTTTTCTGTTTTCTCTTTAATCCTAACAGGAATGCAGAGCAGCAAAGAATCCTTTGGAAGATCCCTGATATCTCACAGAAATCTGAAAATGGAGGTATCGCAGTTTATTCATTATTTAATCATTGTTAAAAATGTAAATGTGGGTAGGGCTTGTGGCTATGGATGAGAGTCCTGCTTTCAGTTTATATCTATGACAATTAGATATAATCCTGAACTTTAATAAGGACATCTTCAGGGCCAACGATGTTTAGAGCCTTCATCAAGATTTGGCTTCTGGAGTCTCCCTAAACCAACTTCAGGCCCCTTCACACCGTGTGATTTTCATCTAACTGAGACCAAAATTGAAAACCATTAGAGCGATACACTGAAATATTCGAGACATGTTAACAGATGGAACCTTGGGAGTCTTGGCAATTAAATATAATATACCGCAATAATCAGACGGTGACTGGAAGTTGGGACAGCTGCTACCTCTAATCAAAATGCAACATCAAATGATGCAGAAGATACTGGCTGGCATGACAGTAGTGCTGCTTTTTGAATACATTTTAGGGGAATATAAGCAGGCAAATGCACAAACCAAAATGGAGGCAAAAGGAACAAAAAGTTTGCAACTTTGGAAAGAACTAAATTTAGTGGAGCTGCAATTTCAAAACAGCCTGATGACATGACTGTTTTTTATATACTGTCTATTTATTTTACTGAAATTGCAGCGCTACATTTCACTGATCTCTGATATCTGTTAGATTGTAATTGTACAGTCTGACACCAACTGGGAGCATGGTTTTATTAAAGCCATCTCTCACACTGTGACATGCAGCGAAGTTACAGAATCACCAAGAGTCACCCAGAAACTCAGCTCAAACTTAAATGTACTAAATCCATTTTAAGACTTGTGTGACCTTTGTGTGATATCAGAGTTATCCAAAGCCCTGCTAAAAAGTCTGTACACGATGGCTGTTATCAGGGCAAAAGCTCTAGAAATACTGAAAATAAGACCACAGATCAGAACCAGAATGTAGAAAGAGACTCTGAGGTGGAAAGAAAAATAGATTCCGCCTGACTGGGAATATTATTTGACAACACAGAACTAGATTTATTACCAGCAGCCATGGACGCAACTATTCCTGCTACAGGGGAGAAGTTCACTGCCTGATGTCCCTCAGAACAAGGTCTGCCTGAAGTAACCAGCGCCCCCTTGTGTCTGGCAGCGGTGTTACAGTTACTTATCACCGCTGTGACGTCTTCCTGCACTGTGGTCAAGTGTAGTATTGTGCCAGAGCTTCTCCTATTCCCGAAGGATGAAATAAATTAGTGTTTACTTTTAGCTGGTAAGGAAATAGTATGATTTGGTCATCAGGTATGACAAACTGAATTTTATTGACCTGTTTCATGGAACACAAGGCAGAAAGCCTCCAGGACTCACCTGCTGTTCAGAACAGCAACACTAAACTGGATTAGGAATTCTCTTTAAGATAGAACAGACCTTCTGATCAGTTTAATGCTGCTTCTTAGGCTATTGGTTGTTCTCTGATGTACTCGGTAAAACAAAGTGACCTCTGATGAATCTCATACACTGCTTATACGTCAAATGAACACTCAGCAAACATTTTGACATTCAACAAGCACTGATTCACTGAGTAGATCCGTCCTCTAGAACTGCTACCTGCATTTTTCATTTTGTTAAATTGGGACCAGCCTATTTTCTTGAAGTTTTGAACCCATCCTCATAACCCCTTTTAAAATGACTCCCTTCCCTCAGGTGTGGGGTCGTTGTTAGCGCGCTTCCAGCTAACAGAAGGTCCCAGTAAACCAGCTCCACTGGCGGTGCAGTTCACCAGTGAGGGCAGCACCCTGTCAGGCTGTGACATCGAACTAGCTGGACCCGGGTACCGCTTCTCTCTCGTCAAGAAGAGGTTTGCCGCAGGTCAGTCTAATGTCTCAACATTTAAAGGAATTTTCCAAACCAAAATGTTATCAGTCACATCTTAGTGCCAGCTGATGGCTTTGCCAAATTGTCAAGCGGATCCAACCTGTCTAACCCTACACTGATGCTTTAAATTGTTTGTTACAGTGCCGCATTTATTAAACGTAAAACAAGTTATCATCCAATATTGTAGAAAATGTTTCCAGTTTTGAAAATTTCTATTTGATATGTATTAATGCTTAGATTGTTTAAGATGAGTATCTTTGATTTTGCAAAGTGCGCTCAGCTACTCAGGGGTGTGAGTTCAGAAAGTTGAAGCTTGTAAGGCTTTACTGAATTTCCCTTCTGGGATAAATAAAGTATTTTTCACTTCATTTCATTTTCATTTAACCCTTTATAGGGCACTCCTTGAAATACTTGGAAAATGAAAGTTTCAGCCTGAGGGTGTTATTGAGGGATATTTCAAGATATTTTTACTTTTGTGACTTCAAAAAAAAATGTTGCAAATCAAGATTAATAAAGTTACCATATATGAAAAAAAAAAGGAATTGAAAGAAAAAATAACAAACTGCAAAAAACATTTATTTAGAAACATTTTAGTTTGAGGTAATGACACTTTCACAACCAGTAACAAAGTATCTATAAAGTGCTTGGCCAGTTCATTTAGTAACATTTCTCTTGGGGTAGTGGTGTTAATGGCTCTAATCTCAAATCAATCAAAGTAAAGTTCAATGCAAACCAGTAACAAAAGCGCCTGGAACACTTGTTTAGTGACATCTTTCGTAAGGTAGTGATATAAAAACTAAATCAAAGTGCACATGGTTCTTTAGCCTCAAGGAGAGGCACAGGGTGGACATATTGAACGTCCAAGGAAGTTACCAAATATGGTCACTTGCCCCATAAAGGGTTAAACTTTGAAACTGAAAAGTCTAGTAAAATTAGAATTAGAAATGATATTGCAGTGTTAATAGTATAGTAGCGCACTTGTAAACTGTAAATATGTGACATGCTTGTGTACATAACTTCCTTACGTTTGGCTGCTGTTTTCTAAATAATAACATTTGTTACATTAAAGAAACGAGGCAGCGTCCTTTATGTAGCCTGAGACGGGAAGATTACTGTGAACACATCGTAATACTTATAAATGACCCAGATGAACATTTTTTAGAGATTTTAGTGACTGAATGAAACTTTGAGGGAAATTACACCCTTGTGACAGCAAGTCCATTAGTAGCAAACTGTAATTATGGGAGAATATTAATGAAAACTAGTAAAACATCACATTTCATTGTTAGGAAAAGATGCCAACTAAAAACAAAGAGCCATAGATGACTACATGAGTGAATAATGACATTGACGTCTTTCAGGAAAATACCTGGCCGACAACTGACCCCTGCTACTGAGCGCAGCGCTCTTGAACAAATCGACTGCAATGGACTGAGGTCGACACCGAGGACAGAGGACAGACCGACACCAGACAGGATCTCCATTAACCTTTTCTGAACCCACACGACAGGTCCGCAGCCTACCCAGCAGTATTGTATAACCTGCATATAGCATTGTGGAACTGTTTTAGGTCATGTAATTATCGTATTTGTATTCATTTCATAACATCTGTATTGCTGCAGTTAGACACCTGGGTTCTTCTCTCCTCTAAAGTCTGTGCCTCTGTCTCCATCCTCCTCTGTGTGGTGGTGTTTTTAAAAGTTTCACTGCAGCTGCCTGACCCGAGCCATGGACGGAAAGAGCACCGGGCAGGTTTTAACTCTGGATGACTCGTGGTATATTGTCCTCGGTCTGGAAAATTTGGGCCATAGAACTATCCTGGAATAAGATCTTTGTGGTCAGACATGCACTTCAGCCTCATTTAAAGTTAGATCATGTAGAGCTGAAGCAGGGCCCATGACAACACATAGTAAGTTTATTAGCACATAAGACATCACTGATCTGTAAGTACTCCTTCTGTCAAGGTCCGGGCTCGAAGCCTGAGACAGCTGTGCTTACTGTTTTGCACTGACGGCGGCCATCTGTGTGACAAGCAACCACTTTAGCCGACACGCAAACTGTTGTCGCAAAGTGTTAAATCAAAGTCGGTGTTTCTTGTTGGTGCTGATCACATGAAACACAGAATCGAGTAGCGACACATAACTAGATTTTCCAAGCGTCACCTACTGGTACTACAGGGTCACATGACTTTGGATCGCATCCTTTTTATTACTATAACTGCACCGATTAGCCAATCAATTTTATTTCTCTACACACATACACGGCGAGAGGTTTTCAGCATGTTAGGCAGCTGCAATGACAAGTCAGTTCACTGGTTGCAAAATAAGAAAATACGTTTTCCCGTCAGAACAAAAGAAGTGTACAAAGTGTCATTTTAAATCAATAATATGTATCTTAAAGGGCGTTTGGTGTTTTCCTCGTATCGTCAGATAGCCTTTCTGTTGTTCCCAGGACAGCAGTGTTAGACTCCAGAGTACATGACAGCATTCTATTTTTATTTATTGATGACAATGATTTGTTGTATAAAACATGTGATTCTGTATATGAATAGAATTTGAATGGTATCACACAACTCAGAACCCTTAAAGGTATAAATATTTGAATTCTCTCTCATTTTTGTTATCTGTGTAGTTGGGTAACCTGTGTACAGTATAAGGTATAATTTTTGAATTTATTTCAGATATAATTTTTTAACTCAAGTGCAACAGAAGAATTGAGCTATATATGGGTGGGGAGGGGGGGAAGGGGGTAATTTAATGAAAAAGATAAATATCTTCCTGGATGCTGTGTTATGCTTTGTGAAAGCAGTGTTAATGTAGTTAGCTAAACCATGGGCAAGGATCACTTAAAAGAATTAGTTTGACATTTTGGAAGATGCTCTAGATGTCTCTCTGATATCTGACGGTTAGCTTAGCATGAACACTGGAAACTGTTAGCCTGGCTGTGATTGACACTTTCCAGCGCCTCTGAAAAAATCTCTGATTCATACGTCGTGTTTGTTTGGTCTGTACAAGTATCTGGCTGTATGGATTCCAGACTATAACATATGTATTTAGAATTTTTGTATGGATTGCCATGAAGTGTTGTACAAACATTCATGTCCCTGTGATGATGAAATGCAGCCACTATGGTCATTTTCTCTAGCGCCACCAGCAGGTCAACATTTCAATTTGTCCATCGCTTTGGTTTAACAGCCGCTTTTAAAACTGACAAACTTCCCATGAACCACACGTGTTTAGTGCTGAGTAGCTAATTTAGCACGCTAACATGCTAAACATTAGCATCATTATGATGTTAGGACACCGTCGTCGTTAGCATGTGCCTCTAAGGGGCGCTAGCAGCTAACTGTTGACTCTTCATCCTTGTTTACTTTTGGACAGAGCCAGAGTAGCTCTTTCCCTCTGATTCCAGTCTTTATGCTATGCTATGCTAAGCTAGCTGGCTGCTGGCTTAGCCTCATATTTAACAGTGATTTTTTTTTTTTTTAAATAAGACTGATTCTTGACAAGAAAATGAATGTGTGTTTTCCACAATGTCAAACTAGTCCTTTAAATACGACAGTTACATCAACAATCAGTTTCTCTCAGTGATGAAGAAGTGTGGTGACCACGGTACCCTTACTGGAACAGGATTTGTTTACTGGGACCAGCTTGTTTCTTTAATTCAAACCTCATTGTGACAAAACAAAAAGGAAACATTGATCCAGCACTGTCAGTTCCTTCATCTCTACCTTCAGCTGCTCCTCAGCTTTGACTGTGGGTCACCAGTTAAGCTTCCTACCTGCTTCCATTCACCTCACTGGTACCTGAACTCCCTGATTATATCATGAGCACATCCCCATCATCCAGCCAGCGCTTGAATCCATGGCTTTATTTTGCATAATCGTAATGGTCTCTGTGAGATGACATGATTTGAATGAGGTTGTGGAGCAAGGTTAAGTTGACCAAAATGCTTTTTTTTTTTTTGTATTTTATGTGTGTGTACCCCGACAGTCAGTCCTCTGTTAAGGAGAATAAGCTGAATATTTTTAAAATGGATAAAAATGAAAAAATATATTGTTTAATGTGAAAAAACACTGTGCTGATGATGTTGAACTTCCTGAATGCTCTGACACTCAACATGAAGAACAAAAAGTGCGTGTGAAGTGTAGCCGAAAATCTCTGTACTGTACTGTATGTCGGCACTCTGCTAAATGTAACCAATCATAGTCCTTTCAGATGTGTAGTACGAGCATCTTAGGCTGAAGTTAGTGCAAAAAGACACTTAATCTCACTACAGTACTCCTATTCAGTGATGTAGTACTTTTAATTGGACTTAGTTTTTAAGTATTGTTCTTTGAAGTCTGGGCTGTGCAGTTAAAATGAAAATCTTGACCTGATTCTTAATTTTCTCGTACAGAGCCAGACTGAGAGGAACACTGAAGCTGCGTTTTGTTGAAATGACGCCGTGATGGATGATTGGTGCCATTTAGCTCCTGGTGATACATTTGTTTGGTAACATTTTCCTTCAGTCTTGTCGGTCGTTCGTCCAGCTGACTGATTGACTCAACATGGCTGACAGGACTTTGTTACCTTCTGGGTGACTCTTGAAGCTACCGGTGCAACAGTCACTACAGCATTATCTACAGAGGCCCACCGTACACATCCCCCCAACCGTTTTAAATTACCACTACACAACGGGTTGCTCGTCTTTCAACATGAAAGGCAAAACAACACTCTTTCATTGTTAGTTGCTAAAATATTGTTTTCATCTTTCAATAAAAAAAAACATGGATCAAAACTTGTATTTTCCAGATTTTCATCTCTGTGGTGAATTTGTCCTTCAGTAACTCCTTATTGCATGCAGCGCATGCAGTACAAGGTGGGGCATCTACGATGATAGATAGTACTGAAATGACGTGTTGTGCTGAGTGTCACTTGTGTTAATGTTGAGAAGAGAGCAGGGAGTATGTTTATGTGTGCTATAAGTCAGAATGCTTTTTGGTTCTGTACCGTTAACCTCAAACACATGTGCAAGCTGTTTGTACAGTACATAACAATGCTAAGATGAACTGAGAAACTTAGTTTGCTTCTTTCCAAAACCAATAAAAGTTATAACTGGATGACTGTGTTTGCAGTTATATTTGATCATTGTGAGTGATAGTTCTACTGCATGCTTTTTGTTTCAGCCGTGTTGGCAGCTGGCTGTAAGGATGGCAGTCCATTTAAAAAAGGCTGAAATATCTCAACAGCAATGGCCTGGATTTGTATGATTCAGGTTTTCATGCTTCCTAAACTTATCCTGAAGAAGAGCAGTGATACAGTAAACCCTCTCCAGCAAGCAGACAGCTGGAAATGCTCAGTTATGGCTTTCACGCATCTTCTAGCAAACTTTAGATTATGTATTACATATTTTACATTCTGAATTGCCCCTAGGGTGTAAATAAAGTTATTTGAATTGAATTGAATTGAATAAAAGCATACCATACAGACATGTAAACAGGTAAAACAATGTCAAGAAACACCTCCGAGAATATAAGCCCTGCGCAAAAACATTTATTTGACAAAAGTAGTGAAATTACACAATACAGCTCAAGTTTCCTATAAAGACAATAAAGCAGAGCTGGAAACTTTTACAAACCTGCAACCCTGTGGATGCTTGCTACATACATACAGGACACTGAGACATCTTTCTTGGGAGGTAATACAGTCCTGCACCTTTTAACGGCATCTCATAATCAAATCTATATTTACGGTTGCACGTATCATCCAGCTCAGAAACACGTTCACACATGCTCCAGTGGTCCACATTCACACCAGCAAACCTTCCAGCTGGGACCAGTGATTGCACTGGCAGCATGTGATTCAAATTCTACTGTAGTAAGCCAAGACGGGGGGGAGAACATTCTGGTCGTTTTTTTTTTTTTATGGTCACGTTAAGGAGGAGAATAAGCAGCAAAGTGGGGGGTCTTCATCAGCAGAGGAAGGTGAGGTCGCTCTTCCTGCAGCCCACCTGACAGCACACGGTGGTCAGTATGTTGTTCATGTCCCGTTTGGTGAACTCGGAGCCTCGGCTGCTCAGGCTCTCCAAGCTGCTCTGCTCCCCCGTAGGCAGACCTGGAATGGACAAAGCAAAGCCAATGAGGAAAACGAGCTCAACCACGTGTGACATCACTCATCAAATCCTGCCACTTAAATGCATTCTGTTTGATTCCAAGTATATTTTTTGACAGTTGTTTCCAGGAGCGTGATCGACGAGCGACTGTTTGCAGATCAATCCTGCGTAATTTATGTCCGCGCTCCCATTAAATAAGGAAACTCCAAATGACTGCGCAGATTAACTCGGTGCTATTTGTCTTCTACAGTGTCACTTTGCTCTTTCTAATCAGCACGACTGATACGTTAACTGGGTTTATTTGAGTGTGTCGGCCAGAAAGAGAGAGAGAGGCCGCCCGAGGAACAGCCGGTCGCGGCCTTTAATCAGTGATGTGTGGCCTCCTCTGGCACAATCAGGCCGAGCAGCAGACGGCACGACGCTGACGACACCTGTCTGCCTGCACACCCACTGCTGCAGCTGTAGCCACACGATGGATGCTACTCACATGGGCCACAGCAGTTTGGTTGAAAAGCTATGAAAACATTGCAAAAAAAAAAGTTTTATTTTCAATTTAAGAAACTTAGAGAGACACAGAAATGCCCCTGTGAGGATGGGAGGAGGACTCAGCAGCACAGGTTCAAACTGTGATGCATTATTTTTTAAAAGGAAGTCACTGAAAAATGACAGGAGACATAAAGAAAGCAGAAATACACCATAGACACTGACTCGATGGGTTTTAAATAGGATCATTATGTTGTTGCACATTTCATTACATATTATATAACCTTGCACACTCTTGGATGATTCATTTGCACATTCCTGCACACTGAAAATATTTTTACTACTTGTGATTACATATATTTGCTACTCTTGTCTTGTAACACACACTGCCTACTGACTTGTCTACTTTAATGTTCACTGTTTTGGATAAAGCACCAAGTCAGATTCCTCATATTTAAAAGCCTACTTGGCAATAAAACAGTTGCTGATTCTGGTATGTACTTTAACTGGAGAATCCAAAGTTTAGGCGTACAAAAGAGAAATTCTCAGACTTTTTATGTGCAGTGGGAGTCAGCTGATGCAGAATATAATCACCCACCAAGAGCTTCATATGGAAGACCTGCGTAGTCTAGTGCAATTTAGTACAACAACACTGCCATGAAGTGAACTTTTATACCTATACTTCCATCCATCCATCCATCCATTATCTATACACCGCTTAATCCTCACTAGGGTCGTGGGGGGGCTGGAGTCTATCCCAGCCGACTTAGGGTGAAGGCAGGGGACACCCTGGACAGGTCACCAGTCTATCACAGGGCCACACTTAGAGACAGACAACCAAACACACTCACATTCACACCTACGGACAATTTAGAATCACCAATTAACCTCAACATGTTTTTGGACTGTGTGGGAGGAAGCCGGAGAACCCGGAGAGAACCCACACTGCACGGGGAGAACATGCAAACTCCACACAGAAAGATTCCAGTGCCCCCACCTATACTTTATAATTAATAATAAAAAGAAAGTTAAATTATCAAAAAAGCAACTAAAGTAGATTTGCTGGCAGAGCTGATTGCACAAAACTGCACAGATGCTACCAATCGAGGGAACATTTTAGAGAGGATGATGTTAAAGCTGCTAGAAAGGAAACAAGGAGGGGAAGCTGTGCAGTATAACAGAAGGTCTCACTAAGGTCACGATCTCTGTTGACAGAAAGACCTGGCAAAAGAGTAAAAAAAAAACTGAACAGAGAAGCAGAGGATCAGCCTTCATCTTATTCTGTCCTTCCTCGTGCAAATACAATGAGCTCACATAGAAAAACAGCATGTGATCAGTAAAACTCTTTAGGTTGTGAGACTGTAAAGTTTTCTCACCGTCCATGTCCGTGTCGGTGAGGAACCTCCTCCAGCGGGAGCCTCCGCAGGTGTAGACCACGGCCCTCAGGAACTCCCGACCGCACAGCTTCACCGCCTTCACATCCGCCCTCACCTGGTCCACACACACCACTGCGCACAGGAGCAGAGGAAAAACCACCAGAGCACGCATGCTGGATGTCTGGCCGCCTGTTTTGAAGCTCTTCGTTGCTCTTCCGAAACCCACTGCAGCTCTTCAGTGTTGCTTGATCTTCTCTCTGACTTCACGCTGGACTGATGCTCTGCTTGCATCTCCCTGCATTATATACCATCCACCTTTCAGTTCATCAGTGCTGAGCATCTCCCCACCTCCCTCTGACTGGCTTATCCCAGTGACACACACACACACACTCTTCTTCTGCTTCCGGTTATCTCCAGCATCACCAGCTGTCTGAGAGTGACTTGTGGCCCTTTTACAACCCTCAGCTGACAATCGCATTAGATGAAGTGCAGCCTCCTCAGCCTCCCTCTGATTACATGATTTAAGGCCGCGATTGCACCGACCTGCACGGCCAATTAAGGGGATGCAAAGTGATTTTCTCCTGCGGTCGGACAGATGTTTGGTGTGTTTACGACGCTCTGATGACCTGCTTGTCTTTCACTTTACAGCAATTTGGGCCATATGAGAGGAAAAAAGTCAATGTTGACAGTCCATCATGCAGTCATTATGGTGCTGCTGATGGTGCGATGTGATATTTCAGTTGGATCATTAACAGTGGAGGTCCCACTTAGGACGTCTATGAAAGGACATGCACGTCTTAAGTGGGATGTTTGTGTTTAGCTGGACATCATCTATTGAAAACAAGGTAGAAAAAAAAGCAGGTTCTCTCAAAAATGCAGTGCATGTGTGCAACACATGAGTACTGTTAAGAAGACTGGACACAGAAATATAGTGTTAGGGTTACTTTTGGATACAAAATAGCAGCAACGTCTGAAGGAGATGATCAAATGTTCTGTTTCCTGCAGGCACATTACACGTTTAGCTGTTTTCCAGAATAAGATTGGACCAACAAGTGATTTTTCAAACAAGCAATTGAACTAAGCAAACTATTTACAGATTTAAAAAACATAATAGTGGCTCATGTCTGTCTCTAAGTGTAGCCCTTGTGATAGACTGGTGACCTGTCCAGGGTGTCCCCCTGCCTTCGCCCTGAGTCAGCTGGGATAGACTCCAGCCCCCCGTGACCCCAGTGAGGGTTAAGCGGTGTATAGATAATGGATGGATGGATAATAGAGGATGATGCAATACAAAATAACACATCATCCCAAACTGATTTGTATATTACAATATAATCAAAACAGCATTTAAAGGTGCAAACACCACTGATTTACTATTAAACTATCAGCCTGCAGCTGCCCTCAGGTTCACTGGCAAAACAAACACATTAGACTTTGGAGAACAGGCGGTGATTTTAGTTTTCACTTTCCAGACTTTTTATACCAGAGGTCAGATTCGTGAATGTAAAATTGTCTCTGAAATAAAAGCAGTGGCACAATCAGGATACTTCATTCTGTATATTTATGCTCACGCACATGAAACTCCTTGGTTTAACAAATAGAGCAAAACTCACAAAGAGTGTAATTTAGTTTAACGTTGTTGTGATTTGAACAATTCAAATTTTTTATGGAAGTTTGTTCCTCAGATTTGATAAGAATCTAGCAGAGAGTTACATGTGTGGGACTCTGATCTGATGTCTATACTGAATATGTGTGGAACATATTCAGTAGTGATGCACGATATTCAAATTTCTGGCCGATACCGATATCCGATAACCGATATCCGATATCCGATATTAAGATTTCTGATATCGCCGATAACCGATGTCGACATTAAATTTTTTTTTCAAACCAAAAAATTAGTATAAGTAAGCACTGTGAGAACGTGAAAACTATTCAAAAGAAGCCCAAATTAGACTACATAGTCTTCTTTATTACGTAACAAAAGTAAAACATATTTTAACATATTTAACCTTCAAGTCCAGGAACATTTCAGTAAAAACATCTGTGAAATAGCAGCGATATCAAATGTCGAGACGATGGCGCTGATGTTAGACAATCACTGGTTTTTCATATCGGCTAAATATGTTCATCGGACCGATAGATGGGAAAAAATATTAATATCGGCCGATACTGATGTGGTCGCCGATATATCGCACATCCCTAGTATTCAGTATACAAACTATATAAGTGGTGTTTTAAACTACAGCCTTTGCACTTCTGGTTTTCTTGATGTACTTTTTTGTATGTAACCTCTTGACGTGCAAATGTTTTTTAGGGGGGATGTTTGTCTTCCTGGGTGGGTTTAGATATTAAACCACAGATGGCCTTATAGAGACGGTCAGTCTACTGAGGTGCAGCTGTATAAATCTGAGTGTTTTCATTGTTCAAAAAACTCTAACCTCACAAAAATCCATGTAGGGATCAAACGCTGTCAGTCAATAAACTATTTAGTTTGATTAACAGGAAGTGTGCCGTCAACCCCCCTTGTTTTCATTCATCCTCTCTCCTCAGCCCTGACGTCACCAGCTAACATTTCATTCCTCTGTCAGCCCGTCAGCACCGTCCTGTCAGACGGATGAGGACGCCTCCAGCTTCCAACACCTCCAAGTACAGTCGCCGTATTATCACAAGTTCATTCTGTCCTTCTAAAATACACACAAAAGAGGTGGCAGCAGCCTCTGAGTTTCCCCGTCAACAGATTCATGATGCTAACAAAGACCATGTGATATGACTGAAAGCTGAGGAATAGCTGGTAAATGGACCTTCGGTTTCACTTCTAAAATACGTAGCAGAGTTTGTCATGTCAAAGGTTTTTATTCTGGATATACTCTTAGTAAACACTCTTGCTGTCTATCGCTTTCACCCTGCTCTGCTCTGAATCACCACTGACTTAAACAAGTCGAAAGTTCAAAGTTGTTGGGTCATGAATTTCAAAAGCTGAATTACAACACTGGGGCATTTTATTGTTATCCCTGTCTGGATGTTTATTCACTGCTCTACTTAAATCTGAGCCCGAGTCATTTTAAATGGTTGTTTTGTGAGCTTTTAGCGACTACACCTCCTCACCTCATGTGTGAAAGGAAGGAACTGTGTGTTAATGGCTGCAATCAGATCTATCTATGGCTTCTTTTCTTATAATGAACTCAGCTTTGTAAGAATGCTGATGCACAGACCTGAAGAGGGGCAGAACATGACCCAGATGAGCCAAACGTCAGAGTGGACAGTGTGGAATGTATAATTTATTTTTCTACATATGTTTGTGCACAGTGGAGTAAATGTAACCTGGAACATCCACAGCAATGAAGGCCTCAGCTGATGAGCGAGACAAACCTCAGACAGGAGCCGTGTTCGTGCAGATACCAGATTTGATGGCAGCAAACTGAGGAGCAGCTGAAGCAGAGATGTTCCCTCCCATTGCGGTCGGAAGTAATTATCTTCCATCAAATTAAGAAGCTCCTACGTGTTTTCCATCATCAGCAGTTCAAGGCAAAAACGGTTGAGATTTGAAACATTTTGAAGGTGATTAAAATGACTTTCACAACGTTGTGGCCAAAAGTACATGGACGCTTTCTCAGCTTACAGTGCTGTTTTACACAGAAGTAAACTTTGTAGAAACACAAAAACACGGAGCCCTGAAGGGACGAGCGCTGACTTCGAGTCACCCAACATTAACAGCGGATCAGCTGATGCTCTGGTGGCTCAACAGGATCAGATCTCTGCAGCCACACTTCAAAATCGTATTAAAAACCTTCTCTGGAAGCTTTTAAAGCACCAAAACGACAGCCTTTTTGGCAAATTGTTTTATTTTTTTGTCCCCTTCTGCCTGGAATCCCCGAGCCTGTCTGCCCCCTCGGTTTTGTCCTCATTTGTGAGTCTGTTTGAGTAGCTTTGTTCTGTATTTTAGAATTTGATTGGTTTTGTTTTCCTCTGTTCTTCAATTTTTTTTTTAGGTTTTTCGAGTTTCACCCCCCTCGTAATTCAGTTTGGTTTTCCTGTTCTGTTCTTCCCCCCTCAGTTTAGTTTCCGCACCTCAGTTTAAATTCAGTTTTTGTTTAATAAATCTTTGTATACACCTCACCTGCCTGCCTGCTAGATCTGTGTCTGCACCTGGGTTCCCTGATCCCCCATCGCTTCAAAATGTTAAAAATACTGATGATAATCACTTAGTGGAAAACTAGTTATTTCAAGCCTAATAGGGATTACAAAAAATATTTGTGCCATACGTTTACATATGGTGTAGACAACTGTGCACACTTGTTTTTATGTACTTCTGCTATTAATCTAAGTGAATTCATATTATGTTGTGTAACGTCCAGCATGTCCAGACGAGAGAAGTGAGGAGCTGAGCAAAGGTTTATATGCTCTCCATAAGTTTTTAACAATAATATTAAGGATCAAGAGTCTATTGGGACTTTTTTTTTTTTACCCTGAGTTTTGCCTCTCAGGCTACATACAGGTTTCCCAACGTGAAAGAAAAAAAAAAAACAACTAAATTCCTTCTATGTTTTTCACCTAAAATACTACATTTAGGAATAAATCAATGCTGTTTAAGTTAAAAATTTACATATAACATAAGCATTAAATAACATTTATATTATTTTAAATTAGGTGGTTTTGTAGAGTTAGAATGATTTACGCAGCATTACATGTTTATGTCATTATCGTGAAGCTGCCATCCAGCGACATGATTACTGGTCGATGACATTCACTGTGTTTTTTAATATTTTGGTTTGACTTCACAGAGTTCCCATGGCGTACAGTAACTAAGGACATTTACTCGAGTATTGCACTTTAACACAGCTTCAAGTCCTCTTTAACTTTCAGTATTTCTTCATTAATAGCACTTTACACGTTTAGCTCCACTGTATTTGTTTTAATAGCTTTAGCCTATATTAATTTTGCAAATCTTGATTTTAAATAGGAATTGGAATCAACCAGTAAATGATAATGTCACACATTGCATTTCATTGTTATGTATCAGTACATTGTGCACAATGAACAGAACAGAGGTGGAGGATGTGGCTCCACGTTAAGATTTCCACGTCCTTTTCCGTCAGAGAAGTAAATGTACTTTTTATTGCAGGTTACATTTGTTAAAATAATACTTACGCATTAACATTACGAGGGTCACAGGGGGGGCTGGAGTCTATCCCAGCTGACTCAGGGTGAAGGCAGAGGACACCCTGGACAGGTCACCAGTCTATCACAGGGCTACACTTAGAGACAGACAACCAAGCACACTCACATTCACACCTACAGACAATTTAGAATCACCAATTAACCTCAACATGTTTTTGGACTGTGTGGGAGGAAGCCGGAGAACCCGGAGAGAACCCACACTGCACAGGGAGAACATGCAAACTCCACGCAGAAAGATCTCGGATGTCCTCACCAGGACGCGAACTGGTGACCTTCTTGCTGCGAGGCAACGGTGCTAACCACCGATCCACCTTGCAGCCCAACATTAACATTAGTTAATTTTATAATGTGATATAATGTACTATACTATTCTCAGACAGGACATTTTGCATGAAGACTTAGGCTTCGGTATAATTTTGTTCATACTTGTGAACATTTACTGAGGTAACACGTTTACATTTTTGCTTGTAACTGAGTATTTTTTTTACATGATGGTGTTGCTGCATTTACTTTTACATGGAAGTGGACCCACTCACTTCTGGAACCAAACCCACTGCATGAACGTATCACTGTGTATATTTTTACGCTGCATTTCTCAGAAAACCTCCAGCTTCATCTTTGTGAGAGTAAACTTCTACCTCTATGTTCAGTCTATAGCCTGACAGGAAAACGTGATGCTTGCAGATAACATCCGTCCTAATGGGATTGTTCATATCTCACAGAGACATTCAGCCGCCCTTTTCTCTGAGAGCTAAGTCTTACAAAGAGGGCCACTGGATAAATGGATGAAACAGGCACAAACCTAATTGGCTCAGGAAGACATCAGTGTGTGCGTCTGAAGCTGTCGGGCTGGACGCTCATCTCCACAGCGTCCACCTGGAGGAAGACATGTGAGTCCAGGTGCCTGTGTGTCATCGACTGACTGAGGGAATAATGGTTCAAAATTGCCGGCATAAAACACTATAAAGCCCGGAGAGGTGCATTAACAGAGTCTGCAGCACCGTATAAAGTCAACAAAAGGCAAAGATGACATGTGATAGTATAGCACATTCAATAAAAACCCATCGATTGGACCAAAACAGCATCAGATATTTTCCCAGATGCTGACTGATGGCAGCTGTCTGTTGTTTGCCTGTAAAACTTTATTTTAAGAGCACTTTTTACTGAAAAAACACAAAGCGAACGATGACAGCAAATAAAAGAGAGCATTCTGCTTTTACTGATTTCCTCATATAATTCTCCTGTGTGTTTTTTTTTTTTTTTCAATGAGTGGTTATCTTCAAAACGATCACAGAAAACACCAGGCTATGTAGGGCAAACTCCTTCTCTGTTTTATCTTGTCGCACATCCCCACATTGATCATTATTGATATCAATGAAGTGACAGGCGCCATTTAGTCATCATTGTCCTCGATCAACACAAACAGCAGAGACATCGACTCCACAGCAGCAGCAGCAAAATGCACAGTGAGGTAGATCGGATGTGGATTGACTGCTTTTGATTTGTGTTCTTCTTTATTTTGAAAATTATTGTA